GTTTCTCTGTGGCTTTGGAGGCTGTCCCGGAACTAGCTCTTGGAGACCAGGTCTCTTCTTCTTCTCCTCCTTCTTCTTCTGCCTCCCCCTCCTCCTCCTCCTCCTCCTCCTCCTCCTCCTCCTCTTCTGTTTTTCAAGGCAGAGTTTCCCTGTATGTAGCCCTGGCTGTCCTGAACTAATTCTATAGATCAAGCTGGCCTTGAACTCACAGAGATCTGCCTGTTTCTGCCTCCCAAATATAGGTATCAAAGGAGTGAGTCACCACTGACAAAATGCTGCTTCTATGTCAATCAATCTGGTGTAGTAAAAAACAAAATCCAGCAACTCCCAACAGACCTCCATAAATGTAAGGAACAACTGGATGCCTCCAGCCCCCGGGCCTTTGAGAATTCCATAAGGAATTGGATACTACCCTTTTTGCTGCCCCTCCTTTTCATTTTCCTGCCTTTACTAATTGCACCCAATCTTATCAATTTCCTCTCTACGTTTTTTTCAATGACAAAATAAAAAAAAAATCTCTAATCAGTTATTGTTACAGGGTCTCATTAGCCACAGATCTGGAGAGTTATGTCCTGATGGTGAGGATCAGCAGTGCCCCAAAGATGTGGATGCCCCTAGACCACAGGAGGCACTCAAAAGAGCACAGCACCCCCATTCCTGCCACACCAGCAGCCCCTTCCTATTTCCTTGCCTTTTATAATAAACAAGGAGGAGGAATGTTGGTAAACTTAGAACTACCCACATTCCAGAACCAGGTGACCCCAACCCCCACAGCACCTTCAAATGACAGAGCTCCAGCAGTTCTGTCATCACTGGCAGCCCGTGCACATTGTTTCCATTGTCACTAGTCACATATTTTCTGTATGTGAGTGCTCCGTTTCCCTCCTGAAGCTGGCTCCTGCGTTCATGGCATACTCTCTATCTTCTCCACCCCTGCTCAGAAGCAGCCTTTTGTATACCCCTCCTCTGCAATAAATCTCTCTCATGAGGTCTCTTATGTGATGTGATCTTGTGGCCTTCCTTGGCCCTCCAATCACTGCAAGACACAACACCAAGGGCTTAAACTTGTGAGAGGGGAACCTGCAAAGAGGGAGGAAGGGGCAGGATGCACACTGGGAATCTTGACATTAGCAGCAGAGGGCTTTGAAATGGGCACAGCATGCTGATTGTTTATACAAGAGTTGTTTTGTCCCCACCTGCTGAGAAGGGCCTGAGATATTCAGACAGGCTTGCAAAGGATTGCTCAAAGCACCTGGATTTCTCCCAGGGCATCACTGGTCCACAGAGAGCCCAGTGGCTCCCTAGCTACAGCCCATGTGGAAGGGTGGAGACTGCAGTGTGGAGCCCCAGTGAGCTCCGTACAGGCTCAATAGGATGTGATGACAGATAGGTCTGCAGTGCAGCTCTGGGCTATACCAGTCATTCCCAGGTCTGCCAGGCCTCAGCCAGTTCAGACTGATGCAAGGTCACGAGGACTGTGGACTGAGCTTATCAGATAAGAGGGGTGGGGTTGGTTTGGAGTATGCAGGTATAATATTAGGGTGATTGCTGACCCTTGCAGAAGAGCTTTGAGTTTTGCTATTGAGATGTCAGACCTCAGGGACCCTCACAGATCACTGTCAAGCTCTCAAAAGCACTGCTGTGACCTTGGACTTGCAAAATGCTCCCATGCCTAAACTGGGCCTTGTTCCAGAAACACAAGCTGCTGCAGCTACATGGTGAGGGCTTGGCCCAATAAGGTGGCTTATTCTTCTGAAAGAGCACAGCCATAGGGGTTAGGGGTGGACTATAGTCTCTGGAAGCCAAATGGAGAGAGTCAGCTCCTACACTGGTAGGCCAGCTCCCTGACTGTCTCAACCACTGTCCCTGCCTAGGGACGAGGTAGTCTTCTGGGACTGAGCAGCTAGAAACTCTGCAGGAGTATTTGTCTTTCTTTTTTTCTTTTTTTTTTTTTTTCTTTTTTCCTTTTTTTTTTTTTTTTTTGTTTTGTTTTTTTTTTTTTTTTTTCTGACTTAGGGCAAGTGTGTGTCCTCAGATGGATAGGTAAGCCCACAGATGGAAGCATGGAAGATAATACTCAGTGAGGTGGCTTGCAGGATATGCTGGCTGTCCAAGACCCTGTGGTTCCATCACAGGTTCCTTAACAAAATCATCTGTAGGAGGAGGACCCAAGAAGACAGCAGGGCCATACACATCATTGGTTTTATGACAGTGCCTTTGTCTTTGTTATTGTTCCAGTGATACCCACCACCAGGGTCGTTCGGATTGTAAGGGGGCCTGCCAGGCTCCCATGGCTTTGGATCAGGTGATGCTAGCTTGTGTTCTTTAATCCAGTTGTCAAAGTAGGAGACTCTGGCGAAGACACTGGGGGTGGTGATTGGCGTTTCACAAGATGAGCTCCAGCTAGTCAGCCCCACCACGTACCAGGAGCCTTCCAGCAAGCAGACGAAGGGGCCTCCAGAATCTCCCTGAGGAGAGAGAGGACACAGATAGCAGGGCTAATACAGGGAGGGACACACACGCTGACCAGGATGGATACCAGGTATCTCTGCTGCCTGAGTGGTACTCATAAGGACCATAGGAGCAATTTTAAAAATCCAAGCACAGGAGGCCTCTTGGGTCAGTATTTCTATGAGCCCCATTCCTCAAAGTTACCAAGGAGACCCTGGATACCATTTGGTGGAGAGTCTAGGGGCCGAACATCTGCTCTCTATGTGAGAGATGCCTGTGAAGTCCCAAATGGTCAGTGTAGTGGTCTGAAAGAAAATGGCCCCCAAAGGGAGTGGCACTATTAAGCCCTGTTGGAGTAGGTATGGCCTTGTTGGAGGAAGTGTGTCACTGTGAAGGCGGGCATTGAGGCCTCACACATGCTCAAGTTACCACCCAATGAGACAATCCACTTGTTGCCTACAAGATGTAGGACTCTGGGCTACTTCTCCAGCACTATGTCGGCCTTCGTGTTGCTATGCCCCACCCTGATGATAATGAACTGAACCTCTGAACTGTAAGCCAGCCGCAATGACATGTTTTCCTTTATAAGAGTTTCTGTGGTCATGGTGTCTCTTCACAGCAATAGAAACCCCAGTCAGTGATTAACTAAATGGCCTGAGGCCTGGCCTGTAATCTTTGGTTGAATCCCTTGTCCCAGTACAGCATCCTACATGTAACTTTGTTTTTGCTTAATAACATTACTAGTGGTTCTTCGGGTCCTTAGCTGAGCTCCTTTAGAAGATGCCAAGCTGTAGGATGTGCTGAGCGGGCACAGTGGCACAGCCAGGATAGAACAACAGGGGGTTCTTAGGCTCCACAAGAGGTGGAGGCTCCAAGCACAGCAGAGCCTTGGGATGGGAAGGGTACTGGGATCATGGGTAGAAATACTCCTATCTCAGACTACAATGTGGGGAGCAAAACAACACAGTTTCCAACAACCTTGTGTTGAAACATGTCACAGAATGTTCAGGGGACAGAGAGGATTGTGGGCACACACGTGAAGACCCTACATAGGGATAATGAACTGCACAGATGACAGAAGAACCCTCAAGAGGATGCACAAACTGGGTCATAAGAGGGCTTCTCTGAGCCAAGACTGAATGGAATCATTGAGGCTTGGCTGTGGTAAGCTGTGGCCAGATACAGTTGCTCAACAGGGAAGCAAGGGGCCCTGGTGAAAGTTCTGGAGCTTCTGAGAGAGGGCAGGTTATAGTAAAAGGGAAGGCAGTCAGTGGGTGGAACCACTCAGCACACGGATTGACCCTATTGTAAATACAAAACATATGAGATGAGTTCAATCTCCAGAAACCACATTATGGAGAGAAACATCTGCCATAAGTTGCCCTCTGACACTCACTTGTGTGCATGTACTCAGGCACTCACAAACACATACAGAGATGGGGAAGAATAAATTAATTGATGATGATGATGGTTATTATTATTGTTTTTTTTGAGATAGGGTTTCTCTGTATTGCTTTGGAACTCACTCTGTAGATCAGGCTGGCCTCGAACTCACAGAGATGCACCTACCTCTGCCTCCCAGAGTGCTGGGATTAAAGGCGTTCACCACCAATGCCTGGCTTAATTGATTATTTTTAAATGCAAAGCAAGTTGGGAACTATATACTGATGGGGAAAGGACTTCTGTGTATGTTTATCTTGTTGATTATTGAATAAAATACTGTTTGGACAATGAGAAAGCAAGTTAGACAAGACTAGGAGTCAAAGAGGATTCTGGGAAATGTAGTAGATAAGTGGTGATCCAGACAGGAAGTGACATAGCAAGGAGACTCATATCTAAGCGAGGAAACAGGAAGTGTCCCTTTTTTCCGCTCTTCCTCCAGCAGAGCAATGTGATCCACAGGCAAGGAGGGACGCCAATAAGGCGTCTGATAAGATGTCTTATAAGATATATAGATTTATGATAATTAAGACTGAGCTAACAGATGAGAATCCTAGTCATTGGCCAAGCAGCTTTGAACCTAATACAAGTCTTTCTGTGTATTAATTTGGGCCCTAGCTCTGGGCAGCTGGCATAAAGCACACACGTGGCGGTGGGGCTCAGCAGCTTTTGGCGGAAAGATTTATCGTAACAATATACATGCAATCCTGGAGCTCCAGAGGCAGAGACACAAGGATTGCCACTATAAGACCAATCTGAGCCACATAGTAAGATCATTTCTAGACAAACATATGAGACTGATATATTAGATAGGCAGACAGATGATAGATGAATAGATGATAGATCAATCGATAGATGATAGACAGACAGATGAATAGATAAATAGATTTGAAACAAAATCTACAACAACAACAAAAATTCAAGGCAAGAATGGGAAGATTAAATTGTGGGAACAAAAGAACAAAGGAACATCTGGGGAAGAACACGTGATGGACTGGGCTAACTGAGGGTGAGGACCATTGAGGACACATGCTGACACTGCAGGGTGAGCATGGCTGGGAAGAAGGTCCTGAGAATTGTCTGACATTCTTGAGGAGCAGGGAAGGCACACATAAGATGCAAAGTCATAGGCTTCTGAGCCAAGAGGACAGCCAAGGGAAGAGAAACAGAAAGACAGGCACACAGAGGCAAACAGAGGTCACAGGAGACACTTCTAGCTACCCACTTGCTTCCTGGCTTCGGTCCCCACACCATTAAATGTAAACAATTTCGACTGCACACAAAATAGTGATGAGCTCATGCCCCAAATATAAGCATCCCTATGAATCATTTTGAAAGACAAATGACCACTGGTGACAAAGCAACCTCACATCCTTGAGACTGTACTTCATGGGAAAAATAAGTGAAAAAAAAATCCCATCTTCATTAGTCATCAGAAAAATGCAAATGAAAAAATTACATACTGCTGGGCAGTGGTGGCACACAACTGGAAGCACTTGGAAGGCAGAGGCAGGCGGATCTTTGTGAGTCTGAGGCCAGTCTGGTCTACAGAGCAAATTCCAGGACAGCCAGAGCTACACAGAGAAACCCTGTCTTGGAAAACAAAAAAACAAAACAAAGCAAAGCAAAACAAAACAAAACAAAAAAACAACAACAAATAGAAAAAGAAAGAAAAGATTACATATAATGGTTAAAATGAGATGGGTAGGTAATCTAAAAAAACAGGTACAATGTGGAGCAACCTAAATTCTCCATGACGGGAATACAATATCAGTCCAACCATATTGGAGAGCTGCCTGGAGTACGTGTAAGACAAGAACACATGTGTGTCTTGTGGCACCGTGATTCTACCACTAGCATGATGACCCCTCAAGCATGTTCAGGGCAATGCCATTGCAAAGACCTTTCAAAGAAACTGCCAAATCCACTAGGATAAAAAAGCAAGGAAGAGTGTAGTGCATCCATATTGTTGGATAGCATCCTGCTGACTAAAAAGCAATCAGGCAAAAACCTGCATCCTGACTCGTGCATGTTTAGGTGGTGTCGCAGCACGAAGCCATAGTGCTTCTAAAGCTAAGACAGGACAGTTCTGGGAGTGAGGGAAAGGAAAGGGCATGAGGAGGACCCTTTGGGTGCTGTTTACATCAGTGTACCAGCTTCTTATTTTTCTTTATATTTTAAAGATTTATTTACTTATTATATACTCAATTTTCAGCCTGCATGTATGCCTGCAGGACAGAAGAGGGCACCAGATCTTATAGTTGATTGTGAGCCACCATGTTGTTGCTGGGAATTGAACTTGGGACCTCTGGAAGAGGAGGCAGTGCTGTTAACCTCTGAGTCATCTCTCCAGCCCCAGCTTCTTATTTTTCAGTTAAATGTTATTCATTCATTTTGTGTATGTGTATCTGTGTGTGTGTGTGTGTGTGTGTGTGTGTGTGTGTGTGTGTGTGTGTGGGTATGAGCACATGTGGGCATGCACACACCTGCACTCAAGACATGCATGTGAAACTCAGAGGGCAGCTTGCAGGAGTTGGTTCTCTCCTTCTACCAAGTAGATTGCATGGCAGATCAAATTCAGGCTGTCAGGCTTGGTGGCAAGTACCTTGGTCCTCTTGACCCTCTCATGGGCCCATTGAATTAATTTCTAATAATCCCAAAGGCAGTACACACTTGTACAGCCCATTTCCTAGTCTTCAACAACGTGTTTGAAAGACGCAACTAGATGGATGACACAAAGTCCAGAGAATACACAGAAGGAAGGGGCTGAAACAAGACTAAGGTACAAGAATGGCCAAATATGACGAAGCATCTGAGCAGGTTCCACTTACTGAACATATAGATTTTGTCATTGAGTAGTCAGCAGCACACATCATATCATCATATATGTAGTAGCTTCTAGTGTTGCCAGGTGCTGGCTTTGGGAAAAACATTTTACAATCTTCATTGTCCATGAGGATGAGCTTTACTTCTTGGAGGTCGTCAGGTAAAGGCAGGCGCACTGTGGGAGGGAGGGTTAGACATGATGGCCCGCTGAGTGAAGATGCCACTCCCCTTCCAGGGTGATTGTTGGCAGTGGGGAAGGGCCCCCCCCCCAGCCACTCTAGGCCACAGTGGCAGGGAAGGACTCACTACAGGCATGCAGTGACCAGGGAAAATGGCATCCAAGAGCAAGCAGAGGGCTGTGGAAGACAGGAGCAGGCTGGAAGTCAGGCTGACTGCAAAGGTCCCAGCATGGGGACCTCAGACAGAGTCGCCTCATCAGTCTAGGGGACTGAGATGTATCCTGAGGTCCCAGAAGCCAAGGAAGGGGCAAGCCAGCTTTCAAACAGCTCTGGCTCAGGGACGCTGGAGCCTGCATGCAGCAGTGGCATAGGACATGGGCCAGAAACCTTTAGGAGCATGACAAGACTGGCCAATCACAAGGAGCAAGTGGCCCTGAAGACTTGAACTCTGTTTCCAAGTGCTCTCCCAGATGTGGCCTGGGGTCATCTCATGGGAGCAGACTGACGCAGCATGGCTCACTTCATGCAGGGGTCACAGCGCCCATCCCTCAAGGTTGGTCAGGGACTGCCTATGTGTAGCAAACCCGAGCCTGCCCCCAGGCCCAGCAACCATGAGGGCTTGGCAGAAGATGGCTGAAGGTCCGGTCTCTTAGGGAGGCCAGGTCCTCTGCTCTGAGAGCTGCCCCAGCCCACACCTTCCCTCTGTGCTGCCACTCTCATCGCCTGGCCAGACCTGAAAACCCTACCTGCCCTCCTGACATAGGCCCTTAGAGAGTCCATCCCTTCTGGTGCTGGTGAGCCACTGTTCTAGTGGCCAGCCTGTGGGACTGACACTGAGAGGCTAGGGGCAGGCATGGGGACCCTAATCCTGACCTCAGGGAAACATCTGCCTGCAAGCCTCCTCAGGGCTGCTTTGTCAGGCTGTGACCTAAATTTCATGTCACATTTATATTCACTTTATTGAACTTGCCATTATATTGTCTTAAATCAAAAGCATCCTGTGTTGAATCCTTGCCAGGGAACTCTACTCCCAATGTAAACATCTACAGCTGTCCCTTGCTGTCAGCAGGCTCTTCCTGTGGCCCAGGATGCCAAAGTCCAAAGACGCTGAATTCCCTCTGCATAGGAGAACCTGCACGTTATCTCCCTGCACACTTGAAATTGTCTCTAGATGACACAATAGTTGACACAAGGCAAATGTGACACAGATAGTCACAATATTGTATTGTTTAGGGAATCAGGACAAGGAGAATGTCACTCCCCAACACTCAGGCTTTTGGTCCACAGGTGACTGGATCCATGCACCGGAACCACATGTATACAGGTTGGACAGTCTGGTGGGACAGGCAGTTTTCTCCTTGCCTTAAGGATTGGGCAGTGAGGTTCTCAGAGGTGAATGGTCCCCAGTTAAACACCCGAACCTGCCCCATGCCTGGTAGGTCTCATCTTCTGAAGGATACCCCGTGTCTTTCCCGATCAAGGTAGAGCAACCCCTGTTTGGTGAGCGCCCTGCAGTGCACAGGGTCAAGCACACTGAGAGCTCTGGAGTCAGAGAGCCCACACTGGTGTTCTGAAAGGTGGAGATTTGCTTTTGAACCGGGAACTGAGCTTCACAACCACCGGAAAGGCCTCCACAGTGTTTTGTCCCTCACCCTCTTCCCCTGCCCTGTGTACTCACCATCCTCTCTGAGATTCCCCCAGCCACTTGCCCAGCAGGCTTTTTCTTTAGGGAGTTTTATATTTTTATCTGGGACACAGGCTGGGAGGATGTGGGAACTGTACTCCACAGGCGATTCCAGCTGCATCAGGACAATGTCACTTCCCTGGCGGTGGAATCTGTCGTAGTCTTTGTGAACGATGAGCTTGTACACTGACATCTCCCTGCTGTACTTGGTGGGACTGCTCATCTTGGTGTAACCTATCCTGACCTGGTAGTCTTTGGGGTTGTGAGACCTATTGCAGGGGGAGCATCTGTAAGTGTTGGCTCAGGAGTGCCTCCCTGATTGCCCACCCTACAGGCAGCCAGACCTTGTCTGTTCCTCATTTCAGGCGTCTCTTCCTTTCCTAATACTGTTTTCTTTTTCTCTCTCTCTTGAGGGGCAGGATGACCACACACAGCCTAAGCATACATTTGAAGGCTTCTGGTATCTTGGAATTCATGGGGCTGTCAATCTCATGACTGTGTAGAACAATCAAAAGTAAATCAAACTGTACCCCTTCATCTTGGACAAGTGAAGACTAACTGAGCCCTGCTCAGATCTGTCTTGTAAGTACAGGTCTTTCTCAAAGGCCCCACCTCCTGTCTGGCATGACCTGTAGCGCAACCCTCACACATTGTCTTCTCTTAAGATTGTATTCCTATCTAACCATGGGCACTCAAGATTTTGTAGAGGAAATAGAAGTATAAATGGAACACACATTATATTCTACTCTACAAGTCCACTAATATGGTTCTCTTACACGTCCACTGGAAATTCCTCAATCTCCTTCCTTAAGGGCCCCTCTAGCTGTATGACTCATAGCATCTCCTTGACATACCTTCATGATCTACCACCACGGGAAGTGGCCTTTGCCTCACTCTCCTGATAGGTGGGTCTCACACATCCTCCACATGACCTGGCACTCATCAGGTCTGGCACTCATGGATGCTGAATATGTAAATGGAACCCATATGCAGTAATTTGTTCTCCTTGCTTCCTTTGCACACACAGTGAGCCCAAGACACATCTACTTGACTTTACTAGTACATAGATCATTACAGCTGTAGGAATAGTGACATCCCTCACTATAGGAAAGATAGGAACACACACACACACACACACACACACACACACACACACACACATTCAGTAGCAGGATGCCTGTGCAGAGGACTATGTTCCAGTGTAAGATTGGCCTGAACCCAAATGAACTTCCAATAAATATGCCCTGGATAGAGACCCTGCAGAGAGGTCCCGACTGTGTCCAGTCTTGGGAATAGGGGCTTGGGATTGTCACTTTCACTAAGCACTGAGCCTGTGCTGTGTCTAGCTAGTTCAGAACGTAGTGCCGATGGTTTCCAGGAGAAATAGGCCCGCTACCATTTTCAGGGACTCTCTAGAGGTGAGCAAGTGTCAGATCCTGAAGTATACTTGAGGGGAAGAAAGTTTTGATCCCTAACGTTCATGAAAGAGAAAAGAGAAGGTTGGAAGTGACCACTCTAGAACTAAAACTCTCATTTTAGTCACGCCAGAGGGAAGTAATTTCAGCTCACTGTTTAAAAGCAAGGTGTATATCACTGTAACAACCAGACTAGTTAGTTGAGTCTCAGGGATGGGGAGAGGACAGCCCCAAGGTGAGAGACAAAATATGAGGCCTTTGTCTGTAACAGGAGAATCAGACTGGCAAGAGATGAGAGTCAGGTGATAAACAAGGATGGCAATCTGGGTGGAAGGTACCACTCAAGGGCAGGCAGGGCAACAGCACAGAGGACTCCTGCTGGCAGTAAGCTATCCCTGAACATGGCCTGTGTGCATCCTTCACCTCTCTCCTTCCCTCCTAGTGACGCTCTCCTGAACCCCTTCCCAGCAGAAGGGCCCCCGGGGTGGGAACACACACCTTTGGAAGCAGTGGGCAGCACCAGCTATCCAGTTTTTGTCGATGAGAACTGCTCCACAGATATGCCTGCCATATAAACGCAGACTGACCTGCCATGGCCACCGCTCAGGTTTTGCCGTCTCACCGCCAAAGATCCTCCCTTGGAATTGGGTCTTGCCACATACTGTGGAGACAATCCCAGCCAAGAGACACCTGCATTCAGGATGCATGTGCTTGGTGCCCCAAATGTCAGCATCAGCAGGACCCAAGGGGCACAATGGTCTCTCTTCTTTTTAAGTACGCATAGCCAAGTTCAAAAGTGGAGTGGCATGGCTCATGTGACAAAGAGCAGGGAGAGGGCTGGATTAGTCCAAGGCTTCCTCTCAGCAAGGCCCACAGAACAGAGGTACAGGCAAAGGGGAGGGTGCTGCCAGGTTCTCTTCTGTCTCCATTAACTTAAGGAGCACAGTACTGACGAGGCAGAAACCGAAACAGAAGTCAAAGGTGGCAGAAGCCGTTATTTTTCAGGTCCACGGTCATTTTAAGCCCTCCCACCTTAACCCAGTGTAGACCATGGTACAGCCATAAGACAACCTTGACCCTGAACTGAGAAGACTTGAGATCAACGGGAAATAGCCAACAGAGGAGAGCATGGTCATGTAAAAGTCCCTGGTCTCAAGCCCCTCTCTTTTAATGTAAAAGCCTGCAGGCCCTTCCAACCACCTATGTTCCCAGGGGAGGAGAGGAGAGAGGACACCCGCTGGAAACCTGCCTCCTACTTGGGGGTCACTATTGCCCTTGCCTCCTTACTTTCAGACAGGGGTGGAGTAGTCCCCATGGTCTCGGTGGTCGATGTGTTTATAGCGCTGGTGTTACTGGCAGGATCAGCGGCTTGAGCGTGCTGGGGCAGGAGGCTGAGCCAGAGCAGAGCAGCCAGCAGGCTAGCTCCATACCCACCATATTGCTGGGCCCTGATGCCCCGCATCTGGCCGCCCTGCCTCTGGGTCCCAGACAGGACCGGATGCACGTGCAGATAACCGCTGAAGTTGGCAAACTGACTCTAGGGAACATCTCTTGCCCTCTGCGACCTCGCGGGAGCTGAGCAAGTACACTGAAAACCTAGTTAGGTCCATGGGAGGCAGTCCGCAGTAGAGCAAGTTTTAGCTTCAGGTTCTCTTCTCTGGCTTGCACAGAAGTATGTTCCTTCCGGGGGCCAAAAGCATTCACTGCATCCCAGAATTTCCCAGTTTCGTTCTGTAACAATATGCACTAAAAACACAGTCTCCTCACCCAGACCAGCACATCACCATCTCATCGGCCAAGTCCACAGAGTCAGAAGAGGGTGCTAGATCTCCTGAAGCTAGAGCTACAGGTGGCAGTTGTGATCTACCCAATGTGGGTCTTTGGAAACCAAACTTGATTCCCTGGAAGAGCAGCAAGCACTCCTTTTTAAAAATTACAATGTTCTGCCTGCTTGTTTGCCTGCAGGCCAGAAGAGGCACCAGATCTCATTACAGATGGTTGTGAGCCACCATGTGGTTGCTGGGAATTGAACTCAGGACCTTTGGAAGAGCAGCCAGTGTTCTTAACCTCTGAGCCATCTCTCCAGCCCCCTGTAGCAAGCACTCTTAACTACAGAACCTTCCAAAAGCTCTACAATTTAAAAATTTGTATAGTCTTTGAAATTTTCATTCATCTATACAATGATCTTGATCACACCTTCACACACACCCTCAATTCCCTTCAGGACACCCCTCCCCCAATCATATTTCCCTCCCAACTTCATAGTCTCCGTACTTGTTTATTTATTGCATGAGTGTGGCCCATCTGCATGTTACCTGGGGTTATCTACTAGGACATGGGGAAGTGACTAGTGGCCACACTCCTAAAGAAAGGTGACTCTCCCTCCCACAGCAATCATCAACTGCCAACAGCTCCTCAGCTAGAATTGGGCCTCATAAACCCCTCCCTGCTCTGTACTGTTTTTTTTTTTTTTTTTTTTTTTTTTTTTATGGCTTGGTTTTGTGCAGGTCTTGGGTAAGTACCACCGTCGCTGTGAGTTTTAGCTATTTGAATTCCAGTTTTCTTTCTGGCAACTTTGATGCGAAAGTCATAAACTCAGCAGAGTGGCTAGTTCTGAGCTTAGGCAAGATTGGTATTTAACACCCACATTGGGTATGTGCCCCCGATAGTGTGCACAAATTGTGTAGACATTTGTGGAGGCCAGATGACAATCTATGCTGTTGTTCCTCAGGCACCACCCACCTTGTTTGTTGAGACACTGTCTATCACAGGCTTGTTTACTTGCCAAGTAGGCTAGGCTGCTGGGCCAGTGAATCCCAGGGATCCACCTGTCTCTGCTTCCACAGCTGCTGAGATAATAAAGCATGCCACCAAGCTCTGCTTTTCTTCTTACCTAGTTTCTGGGGGCTGACCCCACATCTTCACACTTTTCCCAATATCACCCCGGTCCCAATATCTAGATATCTGTAACTCCTGTTTGTGACGGTTTCATCTACATTATTATTTTACTATTTGTTATTCTTTTGTTTAAGCTGCAGCTGCTAATAAAGAAAGGAACAACGGATAAGCAACCCACGTGGAGTTTATTTACCAGAAAGGGGGAAAGGGGGGATGGGCAGTCAGCCAACCCTAGGGTAGCCGAAAGGAAGAGAGAGCGAGGGGTGTGGGGCAGGACCTTTTAAAGGGAAGGTTGCATATGCGCAGTAGGGCAAAGGTCGAAAGGCATGGTGGGTGAGTGAGTGCCCGGGTTGTTAGGGGGCGGGGTTAGGGTCATCCAGGTGTTTTGTTCTTACACTATTGGCATCAGAGGAAGAAAGTGGAAATTCATATTACAGAAGAAGCTGGATAAGTCATTTTTAGTCCTATCCCCCACACCAAATTAACATTTTCTGTATCAGTAGCAGCATATTTTACAACTGGTTGATCGTAGTTAATATTTTCCCTTTTTCTTAGCATGAGAATGTTCAGTTCTTCAGCAACTCTTAGATGATAGCATCAAAACCCACCCATATCCTGTGACTACCATAAAGACGATGTGTGACTCTCCTTGGAGAAGCCCATACCTGTTGTCTCTTTATTGGCTTTCCAAAACTTAATTCTATTAACATTCCCTTCAATAAACTCCATTTCTGCTGCAGAATGGCTTATCCAGAGATTCCATCTGGAAAGGAAGTAAAAAACCTGGCTTTATCTGAGCTGAGGTCTCTGGACTTCTCAGACTGCTGCATGCAGCAGTGGGAAGCAGTCATGCAGCCTCAGGAAGCAGTCATGAAGCCTTAGGAAGCAGTCATGCAGCAATGGGAAGCAGTCATGCAGCCTCAGGAAGCAGTCATGCCGCAGTGAGAAGCAGTTATACGGTAGTGTGAAGCACTCACACAGCAGTGTGAAACAGTCATGCAGCCTCAGGAAGAAGTCATGCAGCAATGGGAAGCCATCATGAGGCAGTGGGAAGCGTTCATGCAGCAGTGATAAGCAGTCATGCAGCAGGGGGAAGCAGCATTGTTGGGCTGCACACTGCACTGCTGACAGATTCTTACTCTGTGCTAGCTAGGAGGCAAAGAGAGAGAGGAAGAGGATGTTTCCCCATCTCTTTCCAGGGTACATCATCAATGACAATGACCTAACTTCCTCCCCAGTAGACCTCATAAAGGTTCCACCGCCTTCCAATCTCATCACAGACTTGGCACCATGCTTTTAACACATGGGCCTTCCATGAACATTTCATCTACAAACTCCAGCAACTTTGATGAAAAAAAAAAAAAAAAAAAAAAACAATGAGAGAGAAGGGGAAAGTTTTATTTAGTGCAGAAAGAAGCATCTAGTGAGGCAGGCCTCTGCTCTGCCTCCATCTGTGGGGGCTAGAGTCTGCCTCTCGTGTCTGGGTTCCCCTTAGAAACAGAGAGAAAAGACCGTGTTTGAAGGTTAAAGAAGGATTGGACATTGGGCAAAGCTGGTGGTTCCTTTAACGCATGCAGATGTCAGCTTATTTATGGGAACTGCCTGAAGCCAGGGTCAAGGTGATTGCAGGAAAGTGGCCAGTCTTCACTCTGCTCTTCCCCCAGGAAACTGCATCTATTAAGAAAGCATGAGTCTTGGGCAACTCAGCCAATGGGGTGATCTATGTCATTGACAGTGATGAGGTCTTTGTGTCTGGACTGAACTGTAGCAACTGTCTAGGAAAATGGAGATAACCAGAGTACACTGGTGCCCAAGAGGCCTTATGTAAAAACAAGATAAAAAAGGTTAGTTATAGAAATGGCCCCCATTTCTCCTAAGCACTGAAAATCAAGTGGCCATATGGGTACAACCAGCTGAGGAAGGATACCATCAACTAAGGCACTGCTCGCATTAATGTCTGGACCAGTCTCTTGATCAAGCAGGTCGTTGAATTAGCTCATCTCACATTGTTAGATGGCTCTCCAGCTGATGGAGAGGCATTGCTTGGGGCTATAACAATTGTGGCCATGTAAGATCAGGATCTACAGCATATCAGTTAACTCCTTGAAAAGTTACAATCCGGTTACATAGTAAGAGGATGGTTGGCATTGACTATGGCCATACCTCATTCATGGCTATTCTGGACAATGGTGAGTGCCCCGGCTCTCGGGGCTCCGGTAATTCGTGAGTCCGAGGTGGATCACGCCTGCAAATAATGGGCGAGAAAGAAAGAGCGGGACCAAGCAGATTCCATTGTCAAGGCCCGTTTTATTGATTATTACTCAATTTATTATTATTTTGTTGATTATTTTATTGATTATTTTATTGATTATAGAGAAAGGAGGAAGCAGAGAAAAAGGAGTGGGGGAGGGATGAATTAATTGCTCTCAGGCAGGTATCCGGAGTCTCCTGTGATAAGGGAGTGGGATACCAGACTATCTGGCGGCTAGCTAGGCATGGGGGGTCGCCAAGGCTGGCCTCTGACATCTCCCCCTACTAAGT